ACTGCGAGAAGATCCAACCAGTCCATCCTCCAGGAAATAAAGCCTGACTGCTCACTGGAGGGAAAGATACTAGAGACAAAGTTGAAGTACTTTGGCCACATCATGAGGAGACAGGAAAGCCTAGAGAAGACAATTATGCTGGGGAAAGTGGAAGGCAAAAGGAAGAGGGGCCGACCAAGGGCAAGATGGATGGATGGCATCCTTGAAGTGACTGGACTGACCTTGAAGGAGCTGGGGGTGGTGACGGCCGACAGGGAGCTCTGGCGTGGGCTGGTCCATGAGGTCACGAAGAGTCGGAGACGACTGAACGAATGAACAACAACAATATATATATATATATACACACACACACAAGCATACAAACAGTATATATAAATATAAATAAAAGAATGCTTTAACACAGACATATAGTATATACCCTATACTTTTATATTATACAGACATATGTAATACATTCATACCAGTATACAATATTTGAATTCAATTTAAAATAAAACATACATTGCATATCTAGAGAGTGCATTATATCTATCTATCTATCTATCTATCTATCTATCTATCTATCTATATAATATCAATGAATTAAATTAATTTATAATTTTTGATATCTATAGCATGCATTATATACACACACACACACACAATGAATTAAATATATTTATAATTTTCAATTTAAAATAAAGCACACTGTATATCTATAGAGTGCCTTATATATATATATAATTAATCCATGAATTAAATATTATTTATTTATTTATTTATTTCAGAGTTTTATATACTGACCTTCTCACCTCTTTTGAGGGACTCAGACAGGTTTCCATCCACAAAAACACATACAATCGGTAAAAACATCATAGTTCATATTACAATAACACATTAAAACAACAAATATATTCAAAACTACAGTGGTCAGTCGTCATACTAAAATCAATATATTTCTAATTTTCGATTTAAAATAAAACATAAACTAGGTTCTTGTGGGTTTTTTTCGGGCTATAGAGCCATGTTCTAGAGGCATTTCTCCTGACGTTTCGCCTGCATCTATGGCAAGCATCCTCAGAGGTGTGAGGTCTGTTGGAAGTAGGAAAAATGGGTTTATATATCTGTGGACCACCAAACGCAGCATTGCCCAGACACGCATCAAGGAACATGAAAGGCACTGCAGACTACTTCAACCAGAGAAGTCAGCCATAGCAGAGCACCTGATGAACCAACCTGGACACAGCAGATTATTTGAGAACACAGAAATGCTGGACCACTCTAACAACCACCATGTCAGACTACACAGAGAAGCCATTGAAATCCACAAGCATGTGGACAATTTCAACAGAAAGGAAGAGACCATGAAAATGAACAAAATCTGGCTACCAGTATTAAAAAACTCTAAAAATTATAACAGCTAAACAACAGAGAGGAAAAAACCAGGCACAGATTAACACCTCCCAGCAACAGATTTTCCCAGGCTCAGGCAGGCCTTCAAATGCTAATGAAGGTGATCAGCTAAACATTCACACCTAACTGTAGCAGGGAAGAGCTCCTTGCCCCACCCCAGCCATTCCACAGATATATAAACCCATTTTTCCTACTTCCAACAGACCTCACACCTCTGAGGATGCTTGCCATAGATGCAGGCGAAACGTCAGGAGAAATGCCTCTAGAACATGGCTCTATAGCCCGAAAAAACCCACAAGAACCTAGTGATTCCAGCCATGAAAGCCTTCGACAATACATAAAACATAAACTGCTTATCTGTAGAGTGCATTATAGATATAGATATATTTAATTATTAAATGAATTAAATATATTTGTAATTTTTGATATAAAATAAAACATACACTGCATATCTATAGAGTGCATTATAGATATATTTAATTAATCCATGAATTAAATATATTTGTAATTTTGATATAAAATAAAACATACACTGCATATCTATAGAGTGCATTATATATATATATTTAATTAATCCATGAATTAAATATATTTGTAATTTTCAATCTATCTATGTATATAATAAAGGTGAAAGTTTGTATGCGGCGGACAAAAGTGTGGCGGTGCGACGGGAGGAGTATGTGCCAGCGTTTTGATTGGCCAGCCTGAAAGTTCCAACATTCTGATTGGCTGCCGCAGTGGTGCTATTTGCATATGGTCTCTGATTGGCCAGCTTCAATAGGAGCCCCTGGTGGAGAAAAGAGTTCATGGCAGAAACGGGGACATGAGAAGGAAATTTGCATATGGTCTCTGATTGGCCAGCCTCAATTCCAAGATTCCGAGATGACAAAGAGAGGAAAGGAAAAGGCCAGAGGGGGCTGAGTCAGAAAATTACCAATACAGACCACACTTGGCACACAGAGCCCCCATGACCCACTCGACATCCTACTGCAACCATGGATGATGGGACTTGCAGTACCATCACTCACATTCTGAGACCGCTGTTAACCTCATCCAATGACTGATCAGGACCAAACTTGGCACATAGACCTCTCATGACCCACCTTACGTCCTGGTGTGGTTTGGCCGGGGATGGACCATGGATTATGGGACTTGCAGTACCTTTGCTCAATTCTTGAGACCACTGCAACCCTCATCCAATTACCGATAAAGACCAAACTTGGCACACTGAGTCTCCATGATGCACTCTACATCCTGGTGCAGTTTGGAGGAGGATGCACCATGGACGATGGGACTTGCAATACCTGCACTCCCTTCCTAAGACCATTACAACTTCCAACAATGATGGATCAGGACCACAATTTACACAGAGAGTCCGCATGACCCACTCTACATCCTGGTGCAGTTAGGAAAAATTTGTCAATGGATGATGGGACTTGCAGTCACTTCACTCACTTCCTGAGACCACTGACTGATCAAGACCAAATTTGGCACACAGAGTCCCCATGACCCACTCTACATCCTGGTGCACTTTCGAGGAGGACAGACCATGGATGATGGGACTTCAAGTACCTCCACTCCCCAAGACTGCTGCAACCCTCACCTAATGTCCGATCAAGACCAAACTTGGCACACAGAGCCCCCATGACCCACTCTACATCCTGCTGCAGTTTTGGAGGCGGAGACAATGGATGATGTGACTTCCAGCCTTCACTCACATTCTGAGACCTCTGCAAACCTCATGCAATGACTGATCAAGACCAAATTTGGCACATAGACCTCTCATGACCTACTTTACATCTTGGTGTCGAACTCCCAGCCCACGACATCAGACTTCCAAACGTGGCGAAACTACTTTAAACCATCCTCTCAGCACACACCGCACCCGCACGACAGGCTCTCCTCCCCCCCTTCCCCCCCTGGGATTCCCCAACCCCATAATGGATCTGGACCACAAACTTGGCACATAGACCTCTCATGACCCACTTTACGTCCTGGTGTCATTTGGAAAAAAATGGAGATGGATGATGGGACTTGCAGTAACCTCACTCACTTTCTGAGACCACTGAGACCCTCGCCAATGACTAATCAAGACCAAACTTGGCACACGGAGCCCCAATGACCCACTCTACACCCTGGTGCAGTTTGGAGGACAGACCATGGATGATGGGACTTCAAGTACCTCCACTCCCTTCCCAAGATTGCTGCAACCCTCATCTAATGACCGATCAAGACCAAACTTGGCACACACAGCCCCCATGACCCACCCTACATCCCGGTGCTGTTTGAAGGATGGACGATGGATGATGGGACTTGCAGTACGTTCACTCACTTCCTGAAACCATAGCGACACTCATTCAAAAACCAATAAAGACCAAACTTGGAACATAGAGCCCCCATAGCCAACTCAACATTCTGGTGAGGTTTGGGGAGTACAGACTAAGGATGATGGGACTTCAAGTACCTCCACTCACTTCCCAAGACCTCTGCAACACTCATCTAATGACCGATCAAGTCCAAACTTGGCACACAAAACCCCCATGACCCACTCTCCATCCTGGAGCAGTTTGGAGGGGGATGGACCACAGATAATGGGACTCACAGTAACTTCACTAACTTCCTGAGACAACTGCGAGTCATATAAATAACTGATAAAGACCAACCTTGATATACAATTCCTTTCTCAAATACCCCGGGCAGCGCCGGGTCCCCAAGCTAGTTTAAAATAAAACATACACTGTATATCTATAGAGTGCATTATATATATATTTAATTAATCCATGAATTAAATATATTTGTAATTTTCGATTTAAAACAAAACATACACTGCATATCTATAGAGTGCATTATATATATATATATATATATACACACACACACATACACACAATTAATCAATGAACTAAATGTGTATTATGTATGTGTATAATAAATTACATATATATATACACACACACACACATTTATAATACACACACACACACATATATATATTTAAAATAAAACATACACTGCATATCTATAGTGTATGCATATCTATAGTGCATATCTATAGGGCATTATATATATATATATATACATGCACACACACACAATTAATCAGTGAATTAAATGTGTATTATGTATGTGTATAATAAATTACATATATATATATACTAAATTCATTAATTCTAACATAGTGTATATGTGTATTATAAATATATATATATATATTTATAATACACATATACACTATGTTAGAATTAATGAATTTAGTATATATATATGTAATTTATTATACATACACATACATAATACACATTTAAGTCACTGATTAATTGTATATATATATGTATATGTATATGTATGTATATATATATATATATATATATATATATATATATAAACACATTTATAATACACAGAAACATATGCAATATATTTAATTCACTGATTAATTCTAACATGGTGTAGATGTGTCCAGCAGAGACAGGCAGGCTGGCTCCACTAGAACCGGACTGCGCCTGCGCACTCCACCGCGCTGCCTCTCTGCCTCATCCAACATGGCGGCGGAGCGGGCGCGCTACACTTCCGCTCTGGCGCCGGAAGTGTGTCCGGTTGCCATGGCAGCGAGGCTGGGCTGAGTGGGAAAGGGAAGCCAGCCTCGCAGAGGGAAGGCCCGGCTCGGGAAGAGCGGCGGCAGGAGACCAAGTAAGTGTGTGTCTGTGGATTCTGGGAGTTGTAGTCCCATACAAGTAACTTTTATAAGGCCCTGGGGGAGCAAAACAGGGGAAACTTGTATCTCTTGGACTACAACTCCCAGGATCCCCTCGCCATAATGGCTGGAGGGAGGTTTTGGGAGTTGTAGTCCAAACAAAGTCACTTTTGCAATGTTGTGTGGATTCTGGGAATTGTAGTCCCATAAAAGTAAGTTTTGTAAGGCCCTGGGGGAGCAAAACAGGGGAAACATATCTGTTGGACTACAACTCCCAGCCATAAAGGCTAGAGGGAGATTTTGGGAGTTGTAGTCCAAACAAAGTAACTTTTGCAATGTTGTGTGGATTCTGGGAATTGTAGTCCCATAAAAGTAAGTTTTATAAGGCCCTGAGGGAGCAAAACAGGGGAAACTTGTATCTCTTGGACTACAACTCCCAGGATTCCCCCGCCATTATGGCTGGAGGGAGATTCTGGGAGTTGTAGTCCAAACAAAGTAACTTTTGCAATGTTGTGTGGATTCTGGGAGTTGTAGTCCCATACAAGTAACTTTTGTAAGGCCCTGGGGGAGCAAAACAGGGGAAACATATCTGTTGGACTACAACTCCCAGCCATAAAGGCTAGAGGGAGATTTTGGGAGTTGTAGTCCAAACAAAGTAACTTTTGCAATGTTGTGTGGATTCTGGGAGTTGTAGTCCCATACAAGTAACTTTTATCAGGCCCTGGGAAACATATCTGTTGGACTACAACTCCCAGCCATAAAGGCTAGAGGGAGATTTTGGGAGTTGTAGTCCAAACAAAGTAACTTTTGCAGTGTTGTGTGGATTCTGCGAATTGTAGTCCTATAAAAGTAACTTTTTAAGGCCCTGGGGGAGCAAAACAGGGGAAACTTGTATCTGTTGGACTACAACTCCCAAGATTCGCCCGCCATAATGACTGAAGGGAGGTTTTGGGTGTTGTAGTCCAACAAAGTAACTTTTGCAATGTTGTGTGTGGATTCTGTGAGTTGTAGTCCCATACAAGTAACTTTTATAAGGCCCTGGGGGAGCAAAACAGGGGGAACTTATATCTGTTGGACTACAACTCCCAGGATTCCCCCGCCATAATGTCTGGAGGGAGGTTTTGGGAGTTGTAGTCCAAACAAAGTAATTTTGTAATTTATATGCCATTAGAGATATGTCTCGTTCACTTTGATATGTAATGGTTGTTAGGGATGTTTGTGTTTATGTATTGGCTTTGTGTATGTGTGTTTTTGTGAAATGTTATTGTTATAGCATTAGAATACAATTTAAAACTTATTATTATTGTTGTTATTATTATTATTACATTATTACTCCCTTTTGGGACTTGAAGCAGCTTAACTAAAAGCATTAGCGTATAATTTAAATTATTATTATTATTATTATTATTATTATTATTATTATTATGCTGGAGCGCACTACGTTAAACCGCTGACTTGCAGAACTTGCTGACCGAAAGGTCGGTGGTTTGAATCCGGGGAGTGGGGTGAGCTCCTGCTGTTAGCCCCAGCTTATGTCAAAGTTCGAAAATATGCAAATGCGAGTAGATCAATAGGGAAGGTAATGACACTCCATGCAGTCATGCCAATGGCCACATGACCTTGGAGGTGTCTATGGACAACGCCGGCTGCTTGGCTTAGAGATGGAGATGAGCAGCAGAGTCCCAGAGTCGGACACGACTAGATTTAGTGTCAAGGGGAATTCTTTACCTTTACTATATTATTTTACTGACACAAAATCACACTATGTCACAGCAAACAAGATCTCTCTGCTGGATTTCGTATCACAAAATCACAAGTCGAACCCTTCCCAAGCGTCTAGGACTGTGTGATGTATTTTCGAATGATGCGCGCAGATCCAAGTCAGGTGGCCTTTTGCAGTTGACAGATCGTGATTTTGTCAATGTTTATTGTTTCCAAATGCTGGATGAGATCTTTTGGCACGTTTGCAGTTCCAACTCTATGATTCTGTGATTCTATGGTCCTTTCACTATTGGCTGCCACTTCCCGGCGGGTGTCAGGTGGTGCAATACCGGCTAGACAGTGTAATTTCTCCAGTGGTGTAGGGCGCAGACACCACGTGATAATGCAGCATGTCTCATTAAGAGCCACATCCACTGTTTTAGCGTGGTGAGATGTGTTCCACACTGGCATGCATACTCAGCAGCAGAGTAGCATAGCGCAAGGGCAGATGTCTTCACTGTGTCTGGTTGTGATCCCCAGGTTGTGCCAGTCAGCTTTCGTATGATATTGTTTCTAGCGCCCACCTTTTGCTTGATGTTCAGGTAGAGCTTCTTGTAGGTCAGAGCACTGCTCAGAGTGACTCCCAGGTGTTTGGGTGCGCTGCAATGCTCCAGTGGGATTCCTTCCCAGGTGAGGAAGGAGGAAGGAAAGAGAGAAGGAAGGAAGGATGGATGAAAGGGTGGGAGGAGAAAAAGGGAGGGAAGGAGGAAGGAAAGAGAGGAGGATGGACGAAAGGGTGAAAGAGAAGGAGAAAGAGGAAGGGAAAGAGTAAGGAAAGAGAGAAGGAAGGAAAGAATGGTGTGAGAGAGGAGAGCCTGAGAAAAGAGCCCAAGGGGCCACATCTGGGCCTCCGGGTCTGGGTTTGCCCATACCTGTATTAATTACGGTAGTGGATATATACTTGGTATTGCCTAACTTTGCATTTGCTAATGCTCTTTATTAGAAACTAGCTGCCCCCTGCCACGCGTTGCTGTGGCCCAGTCTGTTGATCTGGAAAATAAAGTAATGAGAAAGTGTTGGTTTCTAATATATATAATTTCTTTATGCTTGTGGGTAAACAGTATTCCTTGCTGTTTCTTTGTCAGTGTTGATGTGGAGATTGTCTGGTTTGCCTACTCTGGAACATGCGACATATAATTGTCCTTCTTTAGGGGTCGCTTTCAAATCTATGATACTATATCTGTTGTGTGTGTGTGAATCATATATATCTATATCTATGGCTGGATGGCTCTTTGTCGGGAGGGCTTTGATTACATTTTCTTGCCCTGGTGAAGGGAGTTGGATTGGATGGCCTTAAGTATTTTCTGTTGGTCATGGGGGTTCTGTGTGGGAAGTTTGCTCCAATTCTGTCGTTCGTGGGGTTCAGAATGCTCTTTGATTGTAGGTGAACTGTGAATCCCAGTGACTACAACTCCTAAATGTCAAGGTCTACTTCCCCCAAACACCATCTGTGTTCGTATTTGGGCGTGTTGAGTATTCGTGCCAAGTTTGGTCCAGATCCATCATTGTTTGAGTCCACAGTGCTCTCTGGATGTAGGTGAACTACAACTCCCAAACTCAAGGTCAATGCCCACCAAACCCTTTCAGTATTTTCTGTTGGTCATGGGAGTTCTGTGTGCCAAGTTTGGTTCAATTCCATCGTTGATGGAGTTCAGAATGCTCTTTGATTGTAGGTGAACTATAAATCCCAGCAACTACAACTCCCAAATGACAAAATCATAATTTTTTGATTGATGGTCACTCCTTGTGTTGTGAGACTTTTGTTGCCAAATTTGGTGTGATTTCGTTCATTGGTTCTTTTGTTTTTAAGGAACTCATTATGCACAGAGCATATTTATATATATAGATTGTTAGCTGAAGACTTCCCTTTGAACTTTTCTATAGCATAGCATTCCTATATATATATATATATATATATATTATGCCCTCTTGTGGTTGCATTTGAGTACTACATACATAGTTATCTATTTCTTCTTTTTTTGTGGCCTAGCCCTAAACAGAGTAATTTTTAAAGTTGAAAACCCACTAGTATTTAAGTTGAGTAATGAAGGATATGTGTGCCTAGTTTGGCCCAGATCCATTAAGCCATATAGGAGCATTTGTGGAATAAACATACATACATAGGTTCTTAGAAAGATAAACAATTAAATTTAAATATTTAGAAATAATATTTAAAAATAATAATGGATTTTATATGTTTTTATAGTGTTATGTTGATTGTTTTTAATTGTATTTTTTTGTGAATGTTTGGCATTGAATTGCCAATCTGTAACCTGTCTTGAGTCGCCTTAGGGCTGAGAAAGGTGGGCTAGAAATATAGCAAATAAATAAATTTTCAAATCCCCACTTGACCGTGAGCCCCGAGAAAGTCACACTCTCTCAGCCTCAGAGGAAAGTTTGCCAAGAAAAAAAAACCCATGAAAGGAATGCCATTATTTGGAAGCGGCTCGAAGGCACACAACAATTACGATTCATGCATGCGCTTAATTTTAGTTGCTACCTAATTGGTTTCTTTGATGGCATTCTAAATGAACAACTGCCATCCGGGTGTGTTGGGAAATGTGATCTTGAACTTTTGGACAAGACCAGTTTGCATGCATATCCGATTTTAAAAGAGAAATAACTGTGAGCGTAGGGCCAGGCTTCATCCGAGTCCTTCAGCAAACAAGGTGCCTTCTATGTATTGAACTTCCTTGTTACATTTCTCTATACTTATCAGGCCAGCGTCTCATCCTTGCTGTGCTTTGTGTTCCGCTGCAAGGAGAAAATGGTAGTTTCTGTGTCTCTCATTCCAGGCAGAGAACAATGAGTGCTTAATGGGCTGAATTCCTGAAACCGTTTTTGTGCCCAGATAGTGTTTAGACTGAGTGCCGACGCTGGAAAGACCAGTTTTCCAAAATTCCGCAGCCGTTGTGATGTCAGGCTTATTTGGACCTCATTAACCTCTCCCAAGGAAATATCCTGCTCTCATTCCTGCTGGGACTTGGCATCCTTTCTCTGGCACATCCTGGCAAGAGACGAAAACCGGCATGCCTTGCCACTCAGTTTCAAACCTGAAAAGCCACTTTCCTGTTCCTTCTCTCATAGAATCATAGGATCAAAGAGTTGGAAGAGACCTCCTGGGCCATCCAGTCCAACCCCATTCTGCCAAGAAGCAGGAATATTGCATTCAAATCACCCCTGACAGATGGCCATCCAGCCTCTGCTTAAAAGCTTCCAAAGAAGGAGCCTCCAC